ACTTTGTTGTTCTTGTAGTCAGTGATCGGTTCTTTCTTCCCATGATGGATGATACTTAACTCCATGTCATGGGCATAAGTGGCTAACTCCTAAAAGGTCCGTGGTTTGATGCCTTGAAAGATGTAGTGTAATCCCAACTGCATGCCTTGAACACACATCTTGATCGAAGAGGTCTCAGATAGTCTGTCTTTGCAATCGAGACTTAGAGTGCGCCATCGGTTGATGTAGTCAACGACTGGCTCATCCTTCCACTGCTTTGTATTTGTGAGCTCCAGCATGCTTATAGTGCGATGGATGCTGTAGAAGCGGTTGAGGAATTCCCGCTCCAACTGTTCTCAGTTGTTGATGGACTCAGGCTCTAGGTCCGTGTACTAGTTGAACGTATTTCCATTCAGAGAGCGGACAAACTACTTTGTAAGGTAGTCTCATTCAGTCCCCGCATTGTTGCAAGTCTCGACGAAATGGGTGATGTGTTGCTTTGGGTTTCCCTTTCCATCAAACTGCATAAACTTTGGTGGTTGGTACCCTGTCGGCATCCATAAGTTATCAATCCTCTTGGTGTACGGCTTTGAGTACAGCAGTGCATCCTGCAAAGTGCCTCTCACCTGTGTTCGGATGGTGTTGGCAATCATGTCTTGGATATGCTGTATGGAAAGAAAGCCTATGAGTGTCATTGCTTGGTCTGGCTTTTCCTCGACTTTGTCCACCAGAGGCTCCTCTTCTTTGTCGGCTTCTCTCTTTAATGGATCAACATTTGAGTCGTGGTCAACTTTTTCGTCATGCTGCGCCTCTAATCAATTAATGAGTGCGGTGATTTGCAAGTCTTTCTACTCCGAGGTCCTTATGAGCCTTGTAATTGCTTCATTTATTTGAGTTAGTTGTTCTTCAATGGAGGTAACGCCAATGGTCATGACTTATGCAACCGATAGACGCGACTTTCCTTCAGACATCCAAGTGCTGACGAAGAACCCCGTTGGCCATTTTGGGATGTTATCTTGTGCGCCTCAGTAGCATGTTTCGGTGCCCCCAGCGAGGTCAGGTTGATAATGGACTCGCGCCTTTGATACTCCCCTTGCTTCTTTAGTGGCACCAACTTTGAAGCAGCATGTTAAGGAGCGGTTGTGGAGCCAATGGATTGTCTATTCATGCCGAAAGTGTTCAGGATCCTTCCCTTGGTGGTTGTGAGAATGGCTTGTCCCTTGCTTGATGCCATTGATTTTGAGGTGTGTTCGGATTCCTTAACGGGGAAATAGATGAGAGATATAGATTGTCCCATTAGGCATGCCAAATTTGTGAACACGTATTTTCCTATGATGAAACAAGAAAAGAACACGTGTACAAAATAATATTTTGTATTAATGATTTTGGGGTTACAATCTTTTTATAGTTTGATCATCTGATTCGATCTCCGTAAGATGTAGATTTGTGGATGTTTTGTTGATCCAAGGGCCGTCGAGGTTTAATCTTAGATGAACGGTTAGAAGTTTCTTCAAGAGCATTTGGGGCTTGATCTTAAGGGTTGAAGATGAACAGATCTTCAAGGACTTTTGGGCTTAATCTTGAAGAACGGGGATGAACGGATCTTCAAGGGCTTTTGGGCTTGGTCTTGAAGAATTGATGCATGGATTTGTTGATGTTGTTGATCTAAAGGGCCGTTAGGGCTTGATCTTAGGATGAACGGATGATGAACAATGAACACTTTCTTCAAGGGCCGTCGAGGCTTAATCTTGAATTGGTGGAAGTTCTTCAAGGGTCGTCGGGGCTTGATCTTGAAGGAGGATTTGACAAAGAATGAAGAAGGCTTTCTTGATCCTTTAGGATTTGGCTTGAGAGCTTTAGAGTTTCAAAGCTTCAAGGTTTTGGTATGATGTGAATTGGTGAATGAAAATGAATGCCTTGGCTTCTTATTTATAGAATTCCAAAGCTTGATTTTTGGATTTAAATAATCAGATGAAATAAATCATTTCTGTCATGTGTTAACACGTGTCCTATTTGACGACTTTCTGATTTATTTCGATTTTTCATTGAGTCACACGCTACGTGTAAAATTTATGTAACACGTGAGTGTTGAAATTTTAATTATTGGTCAACATTTATTTTACCGAAATTTCGATGTCTACAGCATCGACGTCCTCAAGCAGGTCAGCCTTCAGCAGCACATAAACTTTAGGAAACTCACCAGCCTCGGACTCGGTGGATCTCTCACAACTACCCGTGCGAGCAGATTTCCCCTTCTTAGTAAACGAGTCAATCACGGAAGAATGAGGAGTAAGCCCAGACACCACCTTAGTAGCAGTATCCACCTTCCTGCTCTTTATAGCTGCGAGCCTCTTATAATCGGAACCAAACTTTGTTCCCGACGGACGGTTCGATACAAACCCAGATACCGGAGGTATCACCGAACTCTTTCGTTGGGCAAGTCTCTCAGCAATGGATGCGGTCACCTTCAAAGCAGTAGGTTTCACAGGCTCATGCTCAACGGTCTTCTTCGCCCCTTGGGGGAAGTCAGATCAATGACAAGCTTCTCGGCAGCAGACGAGCTCCCACGAGCAACAGAAGAAGTCATTGGCTTCTTCTCAGCCGAAGGCTCACAAGCAGGTGAGGAAGACCTCTTCTTTCCACCCTTATTTGTAGTAGGCTCTACAACAGCAATCGGGTGAGCCAATGCCTTATCCTTTATCTGCTTTATCTCTTCCTTCGGAGGCAAGTCACCCTTCTCCCAATGAAGAGGGCTGAGCAGCCAGCGCCACTCATGGTACTCAGCAAGAATGCCCAAGGTGACGTGTATTTTCTTCATATCTACCAAAGTCCTTGGAGTTGAGCCAAACTCCGAGTCTACACAAAGTAAGAAAGACGATCGATAAATTGAAGTCATAGAGCATCTCAACAGAAATTCAAGCAGGATAAGAATGAAGCAGTTCACTTACCACTAATAAAGGTAGTCGAGACACGCAGCTCAGGAGAAGAGTCAGACTCCCAGTCTCCCCTCACTTCCAAGGTATCTCTCGCCCACTCATGGTCACCTTTGCTAGAAGCATCGAGCAACCTATGGCAAGACCTTAGATGCCCCACACCTTTCTTATGGCCAATCTCAAAAAAGTACCAAAACTCATTTATGGTCAAGCCAAGATCAAAGAACCTACTCAAGTTCGAGAACCCCATCATCGCACGAACTGCATTTGGGGAACACTGAGCAGGCGCGCATTTCATGAAGCAGATCACCTCTTAGAAAAGATGTGGCATGAGGGGAGGCCCGCGCCTCCTTCCCCTCTTTCTTCCATGCCTAACGTGCCCTAAGGCAGGCCCAGGCCTCTCGGCCCAGGTTGCGCACGCAAGAGAGCCGACCCACACCGGTCTCCCCGTGCCCTAGCGTGCCGATCCCCTCGGCCCGAGCCAAGTCGTCCACCTGGCCCACGCTAACAGACTCGTGCTACACCACCAAGCAGCCCCGAGGCTCCCATGCCGTGTGTTACCCACACCCACGACCCCCACCAAGCCAATTTTTCAAGTCCCAAGACTCCTAAAAAATTCAAGAAGAAAATCCAAATTTTTCTTACCTTGGTGTGGCACGGAGAATAAGAACTACAATGAGAGACGACTCTTTGCAAGGGCAAGAGAAGAAGAATGCTAAGGGAGAGGAAATAAAAATTTCCTCTAGCTTCTCTTCCTTGTTGGAATAATGATTGTTCTCCAAATTTATTTAATCCCCTGCTTAAGGCAGAATTAAATTGGTATTAGGGGAAATTATTTTCCTTTTCCTAGAAGAAGTCTATCTCCAAATCAAGAAAGAAGATCAAGTTCAAATTGGGAAACAATTCTACAAACCCAAGCAGCTTGGGATTTCTACACCTACTGCCCTTTTCATGCGTGCAGCCCAGGTGGGGGCATTTGTGGAGCCTCAAATCCAAATATTCTAGAGGTGACATGTGAACTTTTATTCAAAGAAGACAAGATTGCCCTCAATAAATGGGCAAGCTTCTCAGATACTCCCACGTGCAGCTCACACCCCTGGAGGCCTCAGCAGCTGAACACAACTGCCCACAGCTCACCTGCCTTTGGCAAGGAATTAAAGATAAGGATTAATTACTCAAATCCTATATTTAATACATTCCTAATTGAAGATTGACTCCAATCAAGTAAGTAATCCTAATTTAAATCAATTAGGGATAATTACCCCATTATCTCAAGATATTATCTCCTATTAAATATCTTGGGAATATTTAGAGAACATCTCTCTATTAAACACTATATGGCCGGCCCTAGCCCTATAAATACCTCATATTCTACCAAATTTTGAAAGCTTTTTGCAACTCTAAAAAAGCCTTAAACACTTTACTCTCTCAGAGAAACTAACTTAGGCATCGGAGATCCATTGACCTAGGGTTTAGGATTACTCTATCAAATGTGTTTGTTTTGCAGATGCATTTTTGTCAAGACTGAAGACGGCAGAAATTTGCATCGACTTTCATATTTCATTGAAATTCTTAAATTATTTTATTTAATTACTCTGTCCTGAGTATCTTGACATCCTTAAAAAGATGGAAACAAGTCAGACAAGTCTTTCCCATGTCAACTGACCGTGGTTCAACCCAATCTCAGGGGAGTTGTGGATGTCTAATACACAGAAGGGTTATGTCCGTGTAGTAGCAGTGTCTTCCATGTGAGATGCTAACCAGTGATAACCGTTTTATATCCTTGGTCGGGGACATCCGAACCACATAAACTATCTTTTATGTACTTAGACAACCGACTGTAAATTCGAGAATTGGGTGATCTTGGTGATGCTAAGACCACGACGTACAGATAACAGAAGCACATAGCAGATGCTTCTCCCAAAAACTGCTTCTAGCCCTTTCAAAATCACTTCAAAAGAGCCATTACTCCTCAAGAACTCTATGAGGAGAAAAAAATGCATCCTCGCGAGTTAAAACACTGATCAAAAGAAAACTAAGCCAAGGGGAGAGAACATAGTTCCAACAATTAAAAGAAAGAAATCCTTGCACAAAATCTGTTTCACATTAATACCTTCTGCATTGTTGGTCCTCCACCACCCTTCCTACGCCCTCTCTGATCTCTTAGTACAGGTTACAACTACACTTTAACATAAGAAAGAAACCTAAAGAAATTGACGAGAAATCAAAAGAAAACTCAATATATCAACCTATCTGTTTAGAACTTTAGATGTGCATATTTGTAATTCGACGAGAGGTTCACATATACTGACATGTCACACTCGTCATCACGGCCGTATAATAAAATGCTCGTCCCAGATCGGGCAGGAACATGTTGCATGCTTGTTCTTCCATTCAGCTCCACAAGTATAACAAAATTGATGTCCACATCTACAAAGACAATACAAACAACAAGGGTTTATACAAAAATCATGAAATTATATATGCATCCGGAAAAATAAAATACAATAAAACAACGAGTGACGCCTTTTCTTGGTTATTCAACATAAGAACTCTATATCTCAACAATACTATGCACTGGCTACCATTTAGATGATCATCCTTTGTTTTCAGAGATGCATATTCTATTAGAGATGACTTCCAGATATACATTTTCTCATTCCGCACTCCTTTGATTATTTTTTTTCCGTGATTAACCTTTGATTTATACCATAAAGAGAGGTGTTCATGAGAGAGAAAGAGTGCCGAAATCACTTCTCCCCTATTATTGTCTTTTCTTTTCATGGTTATCCTTTCATAATACAGCAAAACCTCTCCATATTGATACTCGATAAAGGAATAACCTTCATGTAGTCATAAAAATTTTCAGTCCCAACACAAGTCAGTTATATACATGAAATAAACAATATATTGTAATAACTTATAATTCTTCTAGGTCCCGTCTTAAGAAACTTGCCTCCACATAGTAATAATTGTCAATGTCACAATAAAATCTAAAATGAAATAAACTATCTCTCTAAAGATTTAATTGGTTTGTCTTGTATGTATTTATAAATCTACCTAGAAAGAGACACACTAAGGCGGGAACTACATACATACATGCACAAGCTATGATAGACTATATGCTTGATAATTAGCATGTTCCACTACTAATATAGTTCATTTCATTTTTTACTTTCATTAAGGATAAGTGAATCAAAAAATAATTTTATAACTACCTCTCTATTTCGGCGGCCTAGGCACTAAGCGGCAAGCAGCCGCATGACTAGCACCTTTTAGAACCCAACATTATGGATGTATAGAGGTTTTACTGTATAATATTGCAAAGTTTTCTATATTAAGACAGGCAAAAGAATCACAAGGGAAACCTAAAAATTAATCAGATTGGAGGGATTAGAAGTGTAAAGCACAAGCACCTGCAGGTGATGTGGTAGCAACCACTATCAAGTTCAACCATATGATTGCACTTCGAACACTGGCGCCAAAGTTTCTTCGTTGCAAGTGATTTCAACAATTGGTCTTCTACGCAGGAATATGTTTCGGATCTCTGACAATCGTAGCAGCTCATATCATAGTGCCAAGGAACCTTGCAATTGATACAGAAATAGTGTTTACATTTCATGCACTTCCTGCCTCCCTCACCAACAAACGAAGTCTTGGTATGTTCCAAGACCTCCTGTTTTGACATTAGTGCGGAACACCTTGGATATGGGCAGTAAACTTTCTCTGTAACAGGAATAGAACACTCCTTGATTCTTTCGATCATAACAGCAGCTAGTTCAGGCGACAAGAATTTTTTACAACCATCGATATTCACTTCGCACTTACAGTCTTTATGAGGGCATTGTGCCACGATCCCATTTTGCCAACTTATTTCGACGTGATGTTTCATGCAAGGCAAGCAATATTTGTGTTCACAAGTACCAATTGAAAACATTCGATCACCAGAAATGTCTTCAAAACAAATTAAACAAGTTTCCTTCACACTCATGGCTTTGCTAATTTGGGCTGGTAGCGGTGATCTAATTAAGAAGCTATAGTATCAACTGCATATTCGAACTTTCATTCTTAATAGTGACCTGATCGAATAATGCTGCAATCTTGCTGCTTGCAAGACTCCGTGTGTTCATAACCTGCTCTTTATAAAATGTCAATCTTCTCCATCAGTTGCAACAAATCAACAAATGCTTATGTGCCACTTAGCATAGTTTTAAAGTAAATGTGAACCAGAAAAATGATGATTATATATATGCCAACAAAAGTACAAACATAAAGAATCAAATGGATATGAAACTTGGCTTTGTTGATCATTTGAATCTGTTGGAATAGCGATACATATAAATCAGCTAACACTGTTTAACAAATCCACCTAAATACATAAAACTTCTTAGAGGGGGATAGCATATAAAAATTTTCTTAAAACTACCATATGCTCTTGAGACTAGATGTGTATTAATTATAAGTAATTTATTCAAATTCAATTAATCAAATTCCTTTGCAACATTACCCCTCATTTCCCAAGTTTCATTGTCCTCCCAGCCATTACATTTTCCCTATAAAACCCGGCCTTCCATACAAATAAAAATGTACAATTTATCACACCAAAGAACATCCCAAAACAAAAATAACATGTGAGATGAAGGGACGAACATTGAAATAATTTACCAAAATCTAATAATCGAATAAATAAAATACTAAGATTGATGAAATGAATCTTAATGTTAATCAAAACTGACATATCGGTAAACCAAGTAATCATCACAGAAAAAAGATGAACCTTTTCAATTTCAAACCACAAGTTCCGCAGCCCTCACTTTCCACAGTTCACACCACAAAACGATCCAAGACTTTGAGATTCTTTCTAGCTAGTTTTGAAATATCAAATTTTCAACTTCAAAGCTTGATAAGAGGCCTGAGGGCTTGAAACCTAGAGAGAGAGAGAGAGTCATGCCTTCGTGCATTGTAAATTGGAGAAAGAGTACCCTCGTAAGGTTTATGAGAAGAAACCGAATGGGTTTTTAGTCGTACGTCTTTCGGAGTTCTCCGCGCCATTCAATTTCACAATAATAATTTAGGGGTGCGGTCAACTCAGATTTGGGAAGTTTTAAAATTTTAGTGTAGCCAACCAAAGGATTTTTTAAAATTCATGCAAATCTGGATAGTCAATCAAGATTTTAATAGTCATTTTTAAAATTCATCTAAATTTAGGTGTATTGAAAAATTAAGTGTCTGTTTGGTACTCTACTTGAATTCAACTTTTTAAACTCAAAAACAATTTTCAAGTGTTAGGCCTTAAAAACTTGTTTGGTAGGACTATTTTAAAAAACTAAACTCAAGACTAACTCAAAAATATAGTCTATTTCTAAAAACATAAAAAGTGAGTTTTTAGAGTTTTTAAACTTAAACTCACTTCTTTATTTTATCTCCCTCCTCCCCTCTCAGTCCAAATCTATCTCTCTCTCTCTTTTCTTATTTCTCTCTCCTCTCTTTTTTTTTCCTTTTTTGTCTCTTTTCCAATCTGCTCTCCTCATTTTCTCGGTTCTTTCTCTCACTCCTCTTCCTCTCTATCTCGTCCGTGTTGGAAAAATTAGTTATTAGTTTATTTTTGTTTGTGGTTTTCTTGTGGGACAAGTATGTTAGAATTTTCTATATCCTTTAAGGATTAGGATTGTGCTTTAGTTTTCCATATCCTTTAAGGATTAGGGTTTGCTTTAGTTTTCACTATATATAATAGTGCTTGTATTAGTTAGTTTTAACAAGTCAGTCACGATGTAGTCTCTAGGGATTATATAGCCCTTTCGGCATTCTCGTTTGTTTAATAATATTTCTATTATTTTGTTAGTCTCGTTCGTTGCGCACTCCGATATTCAATTGTCCGATCCTCTCTCTTTTTTCTCTTTCCTTTAATCATCTCTTACTTTCTTTCCTCCTTTCTCCTCTTTCTCCCTCTCCTGCAACCCCCCTCTTTTTAGATTTATTTGTCTAGTTTAAGTCGTAAGATTTAAAAATTTTAAATTGCAAACCAATCAAGTTGTTGAGTCTTAAAAAAATTGTTTTCAAGAAATATCTTGAGAAATGATAAAAAATTTCAAATATGATACCAAACAGGCCCTAAAGATTTTGTAGGATTTCATTAAGTTGTGGATTTTGCGAGATTTGAGAGTAAAAAGTATATATAACCAAGACCAAATAAAATCCTACCTCACACCTTAGGATTTCAAATCCAAGAACCTCTCTCTTCCTCTCACACTTCATCTTCTTCCTTCATCTCTACAATTTTTTCTTTATCTCTGCAATTTTTCTACAATTCTTTTTGCAATTTTGTGCAATTTTTTCTTCATGGCAGAGAAGGGGGATTGGAATTGGGTTGTAAAGGAAGAGGAGTAAGAGAGTCACGGAAAACAAGATTAGAGGAGTATTGACAAAAAAAGGATTGGAGGAGAGGGGTTAGGTGGAACGGAAAAGAGACAAGAATAAAATGGGGAGGAAATAGGATTGGAAAGGGGTGCATCTGGAGACTTTTGAGTTGTTGGGTTTATGTGATAATCTTGACTTTTTATTTCAGCTTCATTTTAGTAGATTTATGAATTAGATACATTTATCATCATTTGATTTATTTGACGATCAAGATTCAACGATGTAAAATCTATCAAAATCCGCAGAAATCTATTATATGAATATTCTCAAATCTTCCAAAATCCATATGGATATTATAGAAGTCTCATAATCCTATGAAATTCATCAGGTAACAAAATATATTATAATCCTTTCAAATCCTAAGTTGACTACACATTTCACAGTAAAACGAAAGAAGTTGAAGAAAACATAAACACCAATTGAAAGAAATAGAAATGAGAGTCAACGTATCTTGATATAATGAGATAAGATGTAGATGGCGTTTTACCGCAGTGGTGAAAAGCAATAATGTTTTTGTACTTTGGTGGGAGTTTGATCACCATTGATCCCTTTCTCTTTAACATTTTAACAATTTAATCCATTAGCATTATTGTTTATCAAAACAAATGAAGAAAGATAATGGGATAGAGTCACGAATGTAACAAAGAAAAAGAAAATATTAATGGTTCGATTATCACCAATGTAAAAAGGAACTGTAATTCAATTGAAGGAAAATTTAAAGAGTAACGGTAGAAGAGGGGCAACAAGAGAGAGTAAGAAAAGGGATCAGTGGTTGTATTTTCACTTGTGCTCCTTGGTATCTTATGTCTTTATTTATACTTGCCTCACACTTAATACAAGTCATAAAGTTTTTTTTTTTAAACAAAAAATAAGAGTTCCTATCAAAAAATGAAAACCAGTCATAAAGTATTAGATACCCAAATCCTATTGGAATCTACATCTAGATTTACACAATAACATTCATAAACAATATTAGTGATCTTTAAAGGAAATGTCAAAATTTCCAAATAATTAATAACGGTAAAAAAAGACAACAACAATGTTTTCCAACTGAGAAGCCAAATCTGATGTGGCATGACATGGAATGACATCTCTCCCCTTGTTGCCAAATTTGATAGCAGCTTCAAAAAAAAAAAAAAATTATTCAATGCTTTTTATTAATTTTTTCATTGGTTTAAAGCGTTACCTTTTAATTTCTTTTCATTATCAATGCAATGTTTAAATATTTTTATACCTTTTAATTCATTTTCCTTCATTACCAATTGAAAGAAAATAAAATGAATTTTTATTTTATGTTTAAAATTTGACGTATCGGGTGAAGAATAAAACTTTAAAAGATATCAAAATGCCACATAAACTGTCATATTTAACTTTAAAATTTGACATCTCCCTTAGAGTATTTTGCATTCTTTTCTTTTAAAATAATAAATATACAAGACAAAATTACTTAATTTGTACAATTCTATGAGCTTGTTTTAATCTACTAACTACCTGGATCTCTAAGCAATTGGTTCAAGTTTATCCAACGATATGAAATAGTAAATCTGATGCTAATACATTTTTCTAGGGTTTTAAGTTCTACAATGTATGTGAATCAATCAATATCGTAATTTATATAGCACAAGGCTTTGTTTGGATAAAGGACTTCCAGGTCCAAGTCACAAGAGATTGAGGCCCATGCTAGTAACAAATGAATCACAAAATTTGAAAGGGATACGCAAATTCTGCTTAGAAAGTGTCATTTGCAAATTCCTCTTACACATCTTTGTAATAATCATATATTGCATTTCTAGTCCCTCTTAAATGTCAACACCTCAGAGTACAAGTGAAGGTTCTCAATTGGCAAGATCACAGGAATCTACTCCAAGTTTAACTCCTATCAGAGTGAGAAGTTTGAATTGGATATATCACTTCTGCAATTTCTGTGTTGTAGAACCAGAAAACTTTGGAGAAGCTAACGATGATGTAGCATGGCCGAAAGCAATGGAGGATGAGATTGCAGTTATTAAAAAGAATTAAACAAGCAAATTGGTTAATAGGCTAAGTGATAAGCCTGTTATTGGTGTCAAATGGGTGTACAAGACCAAACTCAACTTGGATTGGTCTATAAAGAAGAACAAAGCAAGACTTGTTGCCAAAGGGTACTCTCACAGCAACTTGGAGTTGATTTTAATGAAATTTTTCCCCCAGTGGCAAGGTTGGACATAATTAGACCCATGATAGCGTCGGCAACTCAAAAGGATTGGAAGTTGTTCCACTTGGATATTAAATGCAGAAGACAAGGTGTATGGGTTGAAGAAGACCTTAAGTCTAAAGCAAGCATCAAGAGCACATGGTATGGTGAAATTGATTCCTATTTCACTAAGAATGGGTTCCATAGAAGCTCAAGTGAGGCTACCTTGTTACCACGAAACAAGGCAATTTTGATATGCTCATAGTGTCGATTTATATGGATGATGTGGTGTTCATTGGCAATTGTGAGAAATGCTCAATGAGTTCAAAAATGATATGATGAAGCAATATGACATGACAGACTTGGGCATATTGCATCATTTCCTTGGTATAGGAGTAGTGCAGAATGACAGTGGGATCTTCATTCATCAAAAGAAGTATGCCAAGACCTTGTTGGAGAAATTTAGACTGAATGATTGCAAACCAGTATTGCACTCCACTTGTGTCAAATGCAAAACTACGTCAAGATGATGGAACTGAAGTTGTGGATCAATATAGGAGTATTGTTGGTAGTCTCCTCTCTTTAACATGATATCATGTATGCATCAAGTCTACTCTCAACGTTCATGCATTTTCCAACAAAAACTCATTTGGGAACTGCAAAAAAGGTCATCATATATGTTTAAGGCACAATTGATCATGGAATTCACTATGAGAAGGGCAAATCCACAATTCTTGAATGCATATGTGATCTTGACTAGGGAGGCAGTGAGGATGATCCAAAAAGCACCTCAGGGTATGCCCTTCACCTTGGGATTATGTGTGTTTTCATGGGCTTCTATCAAGCAACAAACTGTTGCATTATCAACTGCAGAAGCTGAGTATGTGACTGCTGCAGAAGCAACCTCTAAAGTCTTTTGGCTTAGATTTGTGATAAAAGACTTTAGTGAAGTTTAATTGGAAGGTACACCACTGATGTGTGACAACATGTCAGCAGTTATAATGACTAAGAATCCTATATCCCATCATAGAACAAGGCACTTCAAGAGGAATATCATTTCATGAGGGACAATTTGCAGCTGAATGTGATACAATTGCTCTACTACAAAACTGAGGATCAAGTGGCTAATATCTTCACCAAACCATTGCTTAAAGAGAGATTGATATATCTCAGAGGGCTACTTGGTGTCAAGTCTGGAAACAGCTTAAAGGGAAGTGTTGGAATGTAAGTTGTTTTGCAACCTTGATTTCGAAGTCAAGACCAAAGTGTTTTAAGTTTGTGTAACGGCTAGATTAAGACTAGGATTAGAACATGTGAAGGGCTGGGATTGACACATCTAGCTGTTGCCTTCAAAGCTGTGTACCTTATGCAATTTTTGCAGAT